ATTCTAGTAGCCGTTGAATACATGTCAAAATGGGTTGAGACGGTAGCTTGCAAAACTAATGACAACAAGATCGTTGTTAAGTTTTTGAAAGAGAATATTTTTGCCCGGTTTGGAGTACTTCGAGCGATCATCAGTGATAACGGTACACATTTCTGTAACCGTTCTTTCAAGGCTTTGATGAGGAAATATTCAATCACACACAAATTGTCAACTCCTTATCACCCCCAAACCAGTGGACAAGTAGAGGTCACAAACAGGCAGATCAAACAAATCTTAGAAAAAACAGTTAATCATAACAGAAAAGATTGGTCTGTAAAATTGTGTGATGCTCTGTGGGCGTATAGAACAGCTTTTAAGGCCAATTTGGGGATGTCACCATACAGACTGGTATTCGGGAAAGCTTGTCACCTACCAGTAGAGTTGGAACATAGAGCAATGTGGGCAATAAAACAGTTAAATTTTGACTCAGACTCGACAGGTAAGAACAGATTGCTCCAAATAAATGAGTTGGAAGAAATTCGGAATGATGCATACATAAACTCAAAAATTTACAAAGAGAAAACAAAAATTTTTCATGACAAATCAATTTTGCGAAAAAATTTCTCTCCAGGACAGAAAGTTTTATTGTACAATTCAAAATTGCATCTTTTTCCGGGAAAATTAAGATCAAGATGGACTGGTCCATTTTTTGTTAAACAAGTTTTTCCACATGGAGCTGTCGAGATAGAAAATCCTAAAAATGGTAATATTTTTAAAATAAATGGTCAACGTCTGAAACCATTTTTAGAATTTTCTACGCTCGGAGAGGAAGAGGTGTTGGTTCTTCATGAACCTCATTATCTATAAAAAAAAAACTAATTTTCATTTTGTTTCTTAAAAAAAAAATTTCTTTTGTTTTTTTTAAAAAAAAACAATAAAAAAAACAAAAAAATAAAAATAATTACTTACAATTTTTCTCTTATTTGATTTCTTCATCCTCATACTAACAGTAATTGCAGATCCTTATCATCATTGTCAACCGAACAACTATAAGTTCTTCAATTTTATCTGCTTTACTTTGTGCTTCAGCGAATTTGCATTGAGGACAATGCAAAATTTAGGTGTGGGGGTGAGAAATACATATTTTCCTCTTTATTTTACCTTTTTAGTTATATTTTTCTTTCTTTTTGTTAAAAAAAAATTATAAAAATATTGTCACTTGCCAAATTAATAGAGTTAAGTAATAATTGATCAAATTGATAGATTTTAAATTTTCTAATTCTTAGTTAGTGACATATTCAAGTTCACCTTTTATGATAACTCCAAATAAAATTCTTAAGAAATGATTTTTCAACTAGTATACTTTACTTAAGTCTTACCTTAGATTTTTAATTAAAAATAATGAAATTTTTGCATGCTTAACTTAGAGTTGAAAATATTTTTTCAAGTTATCTTGATTTACACAATTTTTTTTAAGACTATATATACTTACACATATATATATTAAAAAAAAACTAACCTTATAAAAGAAGAGTGCGAAAAAGGGGCACCACCAAAAAAAAAGAAAAAAAACGGAGGAATACCGTATCGAGTGGCTGTTATAGGAACTCTCAAATCCGAAATTCTCAAGGGTTCTTCTAGTTCCTCCAAGACGAAATTTATCATCCGGGCCCACCAGTCCGCATCACTGGAGTGAACCCAAGTAGGGGCCCTGAAATCCCGAGCAGGGAACTCTCCTTTGACAGAAATAAATGTTCTGATAAACACCTCCGCTAACTTAGCAGACTCTCCGACAGGGTGCTCTTTTTGGAATAAACCTGGCTTCAAAGCCATGAAATTATTGAAACCAGCGGGATGAGTACCCCGATGAGTGATGTGCCCCGTAGCAACACCGCCTTGGTCTTGAACAAGTTCCCAATTCATCGACCGCGGGATAGAAGCGCACTGATAATAAGAAATCGGCCACATCCGCTCCAAATTGGGAAGGAAAAGACGACGGTTGTTGACTACCTTCAGCCATTTGTAATTCCCCTCGGACATCCGCTTGGGGTCCATTTTTACAGAATCCCCGAATAGGAAGGACGGCTTCTTTAAAATCTCACGCTCTGCGGTTTCGAATTTGGCATTTGTAACCAAAGACCTGAGAGTCTCAGGAAAGGCTTGAGTGATGAGCTTCGACCGTTCTTTGTGGGTGTTCTGAAACACTGGATATTCAAAGGCGAAGCTGAAGATTGTATTCTTCTCCGCACCTCCCGCATGACCGAAGTAGTGGTTGAAAGAAAGAGGCTCTTTGGAGTAGCATACTGCAAATAGAAAAATTAGTCATAAGAAGTCTAACTCAAGAATACAAGGTTCAAACCTGCGTTCGGGGTCTTGAACGCAGGGTCTCAACCTGCATCCGAAATTCTAAACGCAAGGTTCAGACCTGCGTTCGGGGTCTTGAACGCAGGGTCTCAACCTGCATCCAAAATTCTAAACACAAGGTTCAGACCTGCGTCCAAAATTTTTTAAACGCAGGGTCTGAACCTACGTTGAAATTTCAGGAACGATGGAGCTAGCCATACGTTTAATTGGTAAACACTGAGAATTATCTTTTGAGTTTAAAGATGGAATACGGATCGCCAATCAAGGGTCGAAAATGAGAGATCTGTCAAATCGACTTCCAATGGGTCAATCTTACCATTGGTTGAAGGAACTAGCGACGAAGGCGTGAGAACTTGATCATCCCCGGAGGCTCTAGCCGAAGAAGCACCCTGAGCTTCGGCGATCTTCGATTTGGACGCCATTTTCTTCTTAGGCCCCATGGCAATTGTGGCGAAGAAGACGAAGATGGGCGAAGTATTTAGGAACGGATCTTTTCCTCCGTTG